TATAAGGACAATGACTAATTGAGGAGGAAAACAAATAAAAATTTATCTCAATTCCTGGGAGAACATTTTCAAACCCATTTATTTGGTATGAAGAATAAAAAAAATTTCGGGAGAATCGCATTTGATTTTCATACATATTTCAGAATCTGAAAAGAATGGAGAGAACAATTTTCGCAATTGTTTCTTTTGAATTATGGCTATTAAGAATATACCCTCAACTTTATATCCTATATGACCTGAAGAAAGTCTTTGGCACGGACATTAACCCTATGTCACGAAATTGAACCAGATATCATATTAAAGGGTTATAGCCACTAAGAAATTAAAAAAAACTAAATTTTTATTGGATCGATCAGACAAAAATTGACTCAGATTTGAGAGATAAAATGTAAGAACCTGCACTTACCACGTCTCTCTCTCTCGAAATGAAAGACGGGTCCAATTAATCTCGAAAACGGATCGATCCAATTTTCATATGCTTTCGTGAGATTATTATACACATAAAAATCGTGTCCATAACAAATATTTTTGACGGATTTGTGGAAATAAAAATTATATTTTCTCGATAAAATCGAAATATTGACTTTGACAGTTCACCATTTGTTTACAAATCAATATTTTGAATTTCATTTTGCTTAAGGATAATATTATTAAGATCTCAATAATCCCACAAAAATATATGCTGATCGGTTTATTCCTTTTCGAGTTACAGTGGGCACTCCACTGCCTTACAACATATCCAATATTAATAAATCCGAATATAACTAAGGTATGTCCTTTAGGACGAAACAAATCTTAAAAAAAATTAAATATTTTTCTTTCTTGTAAACAATCATGAAATTTGGTTTTTGGTGCTCAATAAGTGGCCATAACTCCTTCAGTAAGCAAAATAAAAAACTCACATATCGGAATTGCTGAGTACTCCACATAATATCCATTGGCTAATTTTTTGAAAGTATTTCACAAGATCTCAAAAATCGAAAATATTTTAACGCTTTCAAATGCAATTCCATATATTTAATTTTAATTGGAAATTTGAAAAATACTATATTTTCAATTGAATAACGAACATTAAACATTGTATGTCAATTTTTCCATTTGTAATTCGAATTAGTGTATTCCAAATTCATGACTTTTAATTTTGAAATTCAAATTATTACATTTGTATTTCAAATAAATATAGCTATAGCTATCATAAATGGATATCAAAAAAGTTATTATTCAGAATTTCCAACTTCTTTTATTACAAATGAAACTGCTTGTAATTCAAATGAAATAACTTAAATTACAAACGAAATAGTTTGAAATACAAAATAATTATTTAATATTACAAATAGAATCATTAAATTTCAACTGAATTATTTTGAATTTGTAATTCAAAATATTTCGGTTGAATTCGAGAATTCTAAATATCAAATTTATCGTATTCAAAATTAAATTTCAAACTTGAATTCAAAATTAAAATTATTTGAGATACATAATAATACAAATATAATTAATAAATTTCAGCTGAATTATTTTGAATTCTTTAGTTGTAAATCAAAACATTTGAATTGTTATTCGAGAATTCATCGAATTCTAAATCCAACGCATTTTTTATTACAAATGAAATAACTTGAATTCCAAATGAAATCATTTAAAATACAAAATAATTATTTGGTTTTACAAATAGAATCATTCAATTTCAACTAAATTATTATGAATATTTGTAACATTTTCATCTCATTTTCTCAGTAATAATTCAAAACAATTTTGTTTACAATTCTACAATTTTGTTTTCAAAAAAAGTATATTTTATAAATGAAATAGCTTGAATTCCAAATTAAATTATTTGAAATACAAAATAATTATTTAATATTACAAATATAATCCATTGATTTCAAATGAAATATTTTTATTTTGGGGTTGTAATTCAAAACCGTTATTTTATTGCAATCGAAATAATTTGTAATTCAAATGAAATAATTTAAAATAAAAAATAATTATTTATTATTACAAATAGAATTATTAAATCTCAGCCAAATTATTTTGAATTTTCCAGTTGTAATTCAAGACCATTTCAGTTGTTATTCGGGAGTTGTTATTTGTAATATCAAATTCATTGTATTCTAAATTATAAATATCAAATATAATTTACAATTCACCGATTTTGTTTTCAAGGCGCTATAATTTATATTTGAGTATTTCATTTGCAATTTAAATTGTTATGTTTGAAATTCAAGTACTTCCATTTGTAAGTATAATTCACAATGTAACAAATGAAACAATTACCATTTCAAATGGACTAACTCATACGTCAAATGGAATAATTTGAATTACAAACTAACATTTAAAAATTGTAAGTGAATTGTTTTTAATTAGTAAAATGTAATTCAAATAATAAAATTGCAATTCAATAATTCATTTGCGATGCGGGCATTTTATTTTTATTTTGAATATTTGAATATTTTATTTTCAATTTGTAGCTTTTAATTCACAATTTATTTGTGATTCGTGCATTTCTTTGCATTTTGAAACATTTCTATTGCAGTTTGAATTTTCCATTTATAATAAAAATTATTCCATTTGGAATACGTACCATTTCATTTGAAATTTAAATGATTTTATTCCTATTTCAAACAATTACTTTTAATACCGCATGTGTAATTAGAATTATTATCATGGTAATTAAAAAATTAAATTTAAAAAAATCGAAAGAAAATACTTCAAATTTCCAAAGGAATACATTGAATTACAAATTGAATAATTTGAATTTCAAATGGAATATTTTTGGAAATAAAATTGCTTAGTAAATAAAATATACAATATACAATTCTTGAAATTCAGCTGATTTGGATGTTTACCAATTTAAATAATTAAAATTAATAATTGATTAAAATATTTCAAATTTCAAATTGTAATGCCCTGAATTTCAATAAGAATTCCGGAATAATTAATGAAATCTTTAAAATTACAACTGAAATGATTTAAAAGACATCTGAAAAGGTTGTATTTAAATAGAAGTGAAAGAAAGCGAGATAAAAATTATCGGAAATTATTTTAAGCTGTAATAAGACTCGGGGCAGAAAAATCGACATGGAGATGAAGACGAAATTTGTAGTCTTTATATAAAGTCTTTCCCAAATTGTCAATATACATTTGGGCAAATTGGAGAAAATTGGCATAGGAATTATATGGAGTGGAGAATGGAGTGTATTATGTTTTTATTTAAAAATTTTAAAAAAATCTATAATTTGTATAGATACTAATTACTTGAGGAAATTCCGGAACGAATCAAAATATCCAATTTCTACTACACGAAGGTTTCTGATTGCTTTGGAATAACTTTTTGGAAAAAATGTGGCTTTACATTTTTTCGTTTCCACTTGTAATTTCTGTGGAATTGAACTAAAATATTATGAATAACATCAATATTTCAATTGGGTGAAGAAATTATTTTGAAAAAACATTAAGTACTAAAAGGATAATGATAACTGAAAAATCGAAATACTTCAGAGACAACTACCCCTCAATCACTGAAACTACAAGGAAACTACGGTTTAAGTCTACATTATCCGCGCCGTCCAGATTTTTTGGAGTAATTGTGTTTTCATCAAAATGTTAACCGAGCTTCTACTCGTACCTTTAAAAAATTCGGCTACGAGAACTTTAAAAAAATCGCCGGCCATTGGCGAACTTTAAGGTTATATTTCCTGGATTTTCTTCTGGAAAAAAGTATATGATGCACATTTCCAAAAAATCCCGACGTTGCATATAATGTAGACTTATGCTCAATGATTTCCAAAAACAAAAAGGATACAATTGATATTTCAAATACCTTAAAGCAATTTTAGCACATTTCTGTTGTTAATTGCCAAAGATTCTCTTAAATAACCATGTGATTGAAATCCACTCGTTTCAATTTATTTTTAATTGTAGATAAATAAATAAATTTAGCCTAAATAATTATTTGTCAATTAAATTTGAAAAATTCCATTATATTTTGAAAAACAAAAATTTGGATAAATTGAATCAAATTGATTTCTATCACATACCATATATAAGTGCAATAATATTGATATTAAGTTCTCTATAATAAATCCGATCTATTTTTGAATATTTTTATATTTCAATTGGAAACCAAATACATACAAAATTTATCTCACTTTAGAATATCCCAAACTTTTTTTTCATAAATTTTCAAAACAAAACGCTAGTAATACAGCCCTAATTGTGAACAAGTTTTTAACAATTGATAAAAAAATAATTTAAACAAATTTAACATAAAAAATGTATAACTAACAATATTTTAATTAATATAATAAAAAAATAATTAAAGCTTTGCTAAATTTTGATTATTTTGTTAATATAAAATAACATTTTTCAGAGTTGTATTTTTACATTCCCACAAAAAATACAACTCTGAAAAATGGATGAATTTAATTCTCTTCTAATATGCTCTTTTTTCAGAGTTGTATTTTTTACAATCATACCCAAAATACAACTCTGAAAAGTTGATTAATTTATTTCTATTCTGAAATTCTCTCTGAAATAAATACGCCAGCATGCAACAGTAAATTTTGAAAAAAAAAAATCGAAATAGTGAATGAAAGAGGTAGACAGTCTGTATCTGTAAATTTCGAAGCGAACGAATTCGAATGGCTTACGTTGGAGTGGATCAAAAAACAAATTTTTAAAAAATGAGGATTCTAATAGTTAAGTTTTCGAAATCACTCATTTCGAATTTTACAGAAACAGTCTTTAAAAATAGAAGGGAAAATATATTTCCAACTCAAAGAATATCCCGCTATACATTTTATAACAGAAAAAACTATTCGAAATTTAATTTCTCATATTTTTTTATTTCTTCTACCTTCGAGGCAGGCCTACTAACAACTGTTCTCTTTCAGAATTCAATAAAACTAAAAAAAAAAATTAAAATTTTTCATTTCAATTCCATAGGATTCTTATTCAGATTTCTTCACAATTAAATTCCCTTCCCTATTTTCCACAATTCTGCAACTAATTCATAAAACGTGAACTTAAAAATTTCTTTAGGATGTGTCACTTGGGCTGTATTCGAGCGCTTCGCTCCAGCTCATTGAACTGACCATAGTAGAGTACCTCACTGATTAGTTTTTCAGCTATAATACGCTGTGTACGATCCATAGATCGTAGCTTAACGCTAACATTAGAACCTATAAAATCGCAGTCATCTTTATTCAGACTTTCGGCATAGATAGCAGCTGCCGCTGCTGCAGCCGCTGCTGATGAACTAGCATCCTGGGAATTACTGAGGCCATTGGGGCCACCACCGGCACTGCCGCCGCCCATGCTCGACGACGTCTTCAGCCGATCACTGATCGATGTGTTATTGTCCTCGGACATACTTTCGTTGGAGAGCAGTGAATTCATGAGCATTTGACCGGCCGCACTCGATGAGGCACTCGACGCTGTCAGCTTGCGCATATTGAGCGGGGAAAATTTCTCATCTATCGATTCGGTGGAACGTCGCAGATTAGGTGGCAGGACAAAACGGCTGAAATCAAGACCTTTGGCGGCAGCCGCAGCTGCGGCGCTTACCCGTAAATCTTGAGCAAAATCGTCGGGACAGTCACCGGGGTGGCGGTTATCATCGGCCGAACTGTAGGAACGGTGCGAACCGGGAGGCGGTGGCGGATGTGGGGCGTGGAAATAATTCTCCAGTAGTTCCTGTTTAATATCCAGATCGTCTTGATCTCGCGACCCGCTGGCCATAGCGCCACCCGGCATTAAGTGTCTTTGTTTATGAGCTTCAAAAGTATTTGTATTTGGTATAGGACTAGAACCGGCATCTGTACCGGAGGCACCAGTGCTACGACGACCGCCAACACTGCCCCCACCACCGCCACCAACACTACCACCACTGCCGCCAGCTAAGCTGCTTGTGCCTCCGCCAGCACTACCTCCGCCGCCACCTCCTCCGCCGGCATCACTGATGGCGCCCGGTGTACCACCATTTGGACCCGAACTCAAACGGCCATCGTTTGAGGTCAGAGAGGTCTCGTGTAGATTGGACGGTGTCGATGATGTACGTTCGCATTTGGCTTCGGGTTCCTTGTCGTCGTTGTCATCGTTATCAATGTCGGTGGTATCCATGGGTTTCTGGGGACTTCCGGCAAAGTCGCTGTTACTGCTGCCGCCACCGCCGCCAAAAATGCTATGGCCACCAACAATCCCACCGGCACTTAGGCGTCCTCCGCTGCTACCGCCACCAGTACCAACACTACTACTCCCACCTCCGCCGCTGCCTCCACCACCACCACCTAAACTACCAGCGGCCGAATTATTCAAATCACCGTGCGAAGGGGCAGAGAATGGCATGGGCAAGGTTACATGCAGCTGGTGGTTGCGTTCGTTAACTTGAGGCGGGGAAAATGCACCGGATGGATGCCAAGAATCCAAGGGCGGATGATTGGCAAGTAGCATTGGCAGGTTAAGGCCCATCTGTAACGAGAGAGACCACAACAGAGACTTTAATTAAAACATAAGGAATTCTTCGGCTTAAAAAAATATGGAAATAAATATAAATTTGTTTTTCTTCTTCTTCTTTACTCTTTGTAAAGTGGAGAGCCGTGGTACCGTCAACTAAACGGTACAAATGTTTAAAAACTAATATTTCGGGACATGAGGTTTATTATTGTTTCAGAATGTTTGTTCGGCGTAACTGCAAAAATTAGCAACTGTTCGAGGTTTGTTGAAAAGAGGGAAGAGATGAAAGTAAACTGAATAAAGAGCGGTGAACTTTGAAGTGACACATGACAGCATGACGTAGCCGCTACAATGTCAAATCCGACGCCTTTACCATATAATACGTCACAAAATAACGTGCTTAGTATTAAATGACAAAAAATGGATCTTAAGAAAAATTATTTTAAAAATCCACGCCTTATGGAGGTCTTCAAAAATATTATTTTCAAAATCCACGCCTTACTATGAAAAAGCTAAGAAAAAGAAAACCAAACGTATAAAGCACCACGATCTGCGAATCTGCACTTGGAATGTGCGCACGTTGTACAGAGCAGGCACAGTGTTCGCTTTGGCGGATGTATTCAAGAAGTACAAAGCCGATATTATTGCCTTACAGGAAATTGCGATGGAAAGGGACTGGCGTCAGTAAATCAGATGATTACGGCCTGTTTTATAGCTGGCATGAAACAAGACATGAATTTGGCTGCGGATTTATGGTTAATAGGAGAATAAAAGACCTCGTCTCCAGATTCACTCCAGTAGATGAGCGATTTGCTATAATACGTATAAAAGTCTTATTTGCGTCCATGCTCCGACCGAAGATAAAGATGAACTGACCAAAGACATATTTTACGAGCGCCTAGAAACAGCATATGACCGTTGCCCTGGCCATGACATTAAAATTCTGCTAGGAGATTTTAATGCAAAAAAAACGGAAGGGAAAATATCTTTGGGCCCACCGTCGGAAAATTCAGAATTTAATGAAGAAACCTCCGATAACGGCATGAGGTTGATTGACTTTGCGGCAGCAAAAAACATGGTAGTTAGCAGCACCAGATTCAAGCATTTCGATATACACAAGGTCACCTGAGCTTGAGCAAATCGAGATGTAGAGTAGTCAGAATGAAGTCCGAAAATTCTACCAACGAGTAAAACACCAAACCGAAGGTTTTGGTCCAGGCACATCTTCCTCTAGAGATGAAGAAGGAAACCTGATGACAGATACAGACATCGTGTTGAGGATCTGGAGGGAGCATTTTGAAAAACTTCTGGTATCAAATAGTAGCGTTGAAGAGGATACCCCAGAACCAATAAGAGATGATGGTATAGAGTGTATACCACCTAGCCAAGATGAAGTCAGAATAGCAATCAATCGGTTGAAGAATAATAAAGCAGCAGGTGCCGATTGGTTACAAGGCGAACTATTAAAGACTGATGCTGGTCAGGAGCATACACCAGCTGATTAGTGCAATCTGGATAGAGGAATGCATGCCCAATGATTGGAACCTCAACTTCCGGTGTCCCGTGCACCTAAAAGGAGACAAGACGATATGTGTCAACTATAGAGGAATAAGTCTCCTTCCCATCGCTTATAAAGTGCTATCCAGCGTGCTGTGTGAACGATTAAAGCCAATGGTCAAATCCACCATTGACCAGATTTTCACTCTGCGCCAAATCCTGGAAAAGACCCACGATAAAACATCGACACATACCTCCTATAAAGCCGCATTCGACAGCCCTATCCGTTCAGATGTGTTTAAAGCCAAGCCAAGCAGTTAAAGTCGGAAAGGACCTATCGGAGCCCTTCAATACCGAACGAGGATACAGACAAGGTGACAGTTTGTCGTGTGATCTTTTTAACATCCTGCTGGAAGAGGTCATACGAGACGCAAAGGTGAGCAGAAATGGCACTCTGTACACGAAACAACCCATGTTACTCGCCTACGCCGATGACATCGATATAATGGGTCGAACATTGCGAGCGGTAAAAGCCACCTTTAAAGAAATTGAGTAGGAGTCTGCCAAAGTGGGTCTGGCAGTAAACGGCGAGATGACCAAGCTGATGGTATCAACGTGCAAGACGTCCAGTAGACTCGGACCAACTGTAGAACTTGAGAACTACAGCTTCAAGGTAGTCAAAGATTTTATATACCTTGGTACCGCCATAAATAAAATGAATGACATCAGTTTTGAAAATCGGAGAAGGATTGTGATGGCCAACAGATGCTACTATGGTCTAAGTAAGCAGTTTAGAAACAAGGCCACCTCCCGCCAGACCAAACTCACACTTTACATGACGCTGATACTACCCGTGCTGTTATATGCGCATGGGTACTTGTGAAAGCAGATTAGGCAGCTCTTGGGGTGTTTGAAAGAAAAATTGTCCGAAAGATCTGCGGGCCGTTCTGCGTCGACGGTGAATATCGGCGTCGAATGAACCACGAGCTTTACAAGAAGCTGATACTACCAGACGCTGATACTACCCGTGCTTTTTTATGGATCTGAAGCATGGGTACTTGCGCAAGCAGATGAGGCAGCTCTTGGGGTGTTTGAGAGAAAAATTCTCCGAAAGGGGTACGGGCCGATCTGCGTCGACGGTGAATATCGGCGTCGAATGAACCACGAGCTTTACAATTTATACGCGGACATCGACATAGTCAGTCGTATTGAGCTGCAGCAACTACGATGGCTAGGTCATGTTGTGCGAATGAATGAGAATGTCCCAGCTCAAAAGGCGATGGAAAGACCAAGTAGAAAACATCTTGGAACGTGGTCTTTCAAATTGGAGGAGATGCGCACAAGACCGACGCGCTTGGAAATCTTTTTTAAGCTCGGCTTATGGAACAACCGTTCTGTAACCAGCCAGCTAAGTAAGTAAGGGGCACCTTTTAACGTGAGGCATCTTTGAACATGAAATGCATTTAAAAACAAAATAAAAAAATTATAAGTCTTGAAAAAAAGTGTTCAAACGTGCCCTCTCCCCTACAAAGTCCCATTATGATATAGGGAATCAAATAGCCCCCTTAGAATTTCGTCCTTTTCTTAATGCGTTTTTTTATAAAAGTTCACACCTTTTTCCCCTTCCCTTCTCTTCTTCAAATAAGTGCTTCTAAATATTAATAAAAACAGTTTCCGAACTCTTATTTGAATATTGACATCTTTATTCTTCGTTAATAAATGTAAAACAATTGGACACCTCAACGCCACTCTTTAATATCAATAAAATAAGAGACCCAAACCACTTAACAGAAAAACATAGCACTCGAACTCCATCTGGGGAGTAGGGGGATTTTTGTTTTGTTCAAGTAACAAATAAACAACAACAACACCACCACAACAGCAGCAACAACAACAACAACCACAACAACACTTTACGAAAAAATGCGTAAACAAACGCAACGGCTCAGCCGGCATTGACGCAATCATAAACATCGGACAATGTTGGGTTCGTGAACGTCACTTAAATGCGGTTGCTGTTGTTATTGGCCTTATTCGTACGCCTCGATGTTGCTGTTGTTGTTGTTGGTATTTTTGTTTTCGATTGTTTTGTTTATAGAAATAAAAACGCAAATAACAGAAAACAAAGTGCATGGTGGGAACGGTGCGAGGAGGAAATCGGTAGGGAAGAGCAAGGAGATGTTGTGTGTGTTGGTCTGACTGACTGGGGACTGCCATGAAGGCAGCCTGGTTGGTGAGCGGACAGGCAGGGTATCCACTTTGTTTTCATTGTAGCAGCAAATAAACAAATATCACAAACAAAAAAGAAATTGCAAAAACAACAACAACAGCGAAAGCAGCAAAAAAGTAATATAAAGTGAAGCTCTGAACGTAAACATTTTTTTTGTTGCAGTGTATGTGTGTGGTGTCCGATATGCGAAGCCATCAACATTATTGGAGTACAGTGGAGCCAAATGGAGAAAATATGGAAGATAGAACTTTTCCATAAATTTGGCATACACGAAAAAAGGAATTGGAATGTTGGACGAACATGGAGGATGGAGGTAAAAAAAATCCAGTTAAATATGTAAAATTTCATTCTAATCAGACGTCTAGGAACATAATATATAGGGAGGTATCTGCAGATCTGAAACAATTTGAAAAATATGCACTGTGCACTATTTAGTGCATCATTTACAAGAAATCGGACGAAGCTATATATGGGAGCTATATTTAAATCTGTACCGAATACTCCAGAACTTAACCCAGGCCATTCTATATTCAATTCAAAACGCAGTGCCAAATTTCGCATTAATCGGACCAATGTGGGATGTTTGAAGCACCATTCAACAAAAATGGGAGGAAAATATATATGGAATTTGCATCATCTACAAAAAATCGGACGTGGCTATACATACGGGAACTATATTTAAATTTGAACCGATTTCAACTAAACTTAACATACGTTCGATCGATATATCTGATCTTCAGAGATCAAGACACGGACTCATATTTTCAATAGTAACTATTGTCTATATTGTATTTTACAAACATAAATACCAAAGGCCACCATCCTGACCACCATCAGTCAGAGGAAGAAAATCGAAACCAAAGTCATCAATAGCTTGTAATGCAGTACGGAATGCATGCATCTTCGTCATTGTTGTTGTTGCTGTTGTTTTGTTTTTCTCATCGTGAATTTTGTTTACCATTGACGAGAGCTTACATTTGTCCAGACGGCGTAAATAATACAATTGAGGAAAAGCTTAAATACCACGACTGCAAGAAAATATTTTTATTATGATGAAAGTTGTCGTATGGTGGTAAACAATGACATCTTGGACACAGTGGAAAAAATTAATCACAATATGAGGGTCGAACTTTTTATTACCTTCACCAATTACTATGGTTCCAAAATTACCTAATTATAATGGGACATTCATTTTGGGGACTATTATCTCTGAAAAACAACAAGTGAAAAAAGCGTTATGTTCGGCCGGGCCGAACATAGTATACCCTCCATCATAGGTATACTGAAA